GGCAGTGGTCTGGGACCTGGGGGCAGTGGTCTGGGACCTGGGGACATTGGCAGTGGTCTGGGACCAGGGGACATAGGCAGTGGGGGTCTTACCTCGTTGAATTCAGGGTTGAGGGTTTTTCTCATCACTGTTGTTTTGTGCTTGGATTTCTTCTGTATGTCGGGTTTCAGGTATCTGACGGGATCAGGAGGAAAAAGTCCGTTAGTTTAGTTTCATGTCCACTGAGCGGAGGACGACTGCTGACAAATGATGAATAATTATAATAACTATATCTAATAAGAGCTTTTATTTCCATTTGTCTTAAATGACACTTGTGGTCACCTCGTAGAAAACCAACAACAAGAACTAAACAAACAATGACAAAGACATCCGGAGCAGCAACGTGACGATTTCTGTAATTTGTACGTTTTTCATATTTGATCTATTTCATATATTTGATTTAGTCCAATATTATTTGATATGTTGGCCCGTGGACACTCAATGGAAGTAATAGCTGAGTCATCATATCAAAGATGATTAGGCTCGTTGATCCTGATTCTTTTAATAAAAGCTTAATTTTGTGTCATGAGACTAATTAGAGATTTGTTAATTAGAGAACACTGTCTGAATCGGCGTGAGGGGAAATGACGCAGTGCGCTTAATGAAGAGTTTTCTTCTGCAGTATCGTTTCCATTCTGCAGCCTGATGAAGTCGTGTAAATCATCTTTAATGAAGTGGTAATTAATAATTAATCAGAGTCAGATTTACAGTGAAGCTCTCACAGCTCAGTGACTCAGCTGAGAGCAGGAAGGTGAAGGCGGAGTTTCACACATCATCCTCAGCGATGGCGGCCGCGGCGGCAGCATCCGCCCTGGAGCCACTTCACCGAGCAGAGCTGCGCTGTAATTGGTTCTGACCGGTTATTACAACAGATGACTCGGAGAAATAAGCGCGAGCTGGAGTCTGGTCCGATACCCTCGGCTGCTTCCTCTTCATCCGTCACTCCCCTGCGGACTGTTACAGGCTGGTGGGAAGAGAAACCACGGCTTGGGCCCCGTTGCATTTTGGGCCCCTGATACGATGTGATCTGACTGTGGATGTTGAGCGAGCGCTGAGAGAAGCTGTGCAGGAAATTAAAAAGCCCTGAGCTGCCGGCTGGAATATTCCACCTGCTCATTTTCTCATTTTGTCTCAATGGACTCTGAGCAGATCAGAGTGAACTCGTTCAGCTGCATCGTTGTTACTGTTTGATTCCAAATGAAGGAATGAAAATGATTTTAACACGTGAACATGATCTGTATTCAGATGTCCAGTAAACGATTTTCAGTCCGAACCACAGACTGTGAGAAAAGATGACGACCCCCAGAAATAAATATTAACTCAATACTAAATATCTCGATATGAACGCTGCCATCCCGTGGTGGTGATGTCATTTGCAGTCAGTCGGGAACTGCTGAGGAGATGAAAACGTCGGACGTGTGCAGAGCGATGAACCTTCTAACGTTCAAGCTTCCACTGTTGCTCTTTAATCACCTGATCTTTAATCACCTGATCTTTAATCACCTGATCTTTAATCAGCGGCTTAATGACGCAAAACATCAAACGTTATCAGCTGCTGATCATCGCACAGTGACGGAAGGAAAGGAGATGAGTGAGTCTTATCCACTGTCTGAGGATTATCGTAATATTATAATGTTCATCTCTGGAGTGACTGAAGGAAAGATGTTGGTCATAAACAGAGACAGGTGTCATGAATCCTACCGGTCATCTGACTTGAAAACTCTGTGTTTAGTGCGAACTAGCAAACGCTTGAATTTGGCGTGCTAACTAAGACGGTGATTAAAGTCGACACATCACAGGACGATGAAACAGTTGAATCAAGGTCACGGTGACGTCGTCCTGTCTTCAACTTATTGAAAAGAGAAACTTGTGGACGACACGTCTGGTTTTTAAACAGAATATCGACCTGTTTTAAACTGAGTGTGAGTCGTCATCTGTAAAACTGGTGAATGTCCGACCCCTCAGCTGTCAGTCACGCTCTTGTTCTGGCTTTGTATTCAGACTGCGTCTCCTCCGAGTACCGCAGGAATCGAACGCCTTAACTCCTGGATTTTGGCCCCTGGTGTTTCCTTTTGACAGAGCTGAGCTGCTGCTGATGATCCTTCCAGCCGAGGAACAGATGGTGCTTCTCTGAGGACAACTGCACCATGAAGATAGAGTTAATAAGATGGCAGGACGCCAGCCGTATTAAGGTCCAGTGTTTGTGTGAGGCGACGCACACCAGCAGCTTCATGACCGTTGGTTTCTATCAGTTGTGTCGTCAATGATTCCACTTGCCAGCCTGAAGGATGAACTTAATGTTTGAATAGTTGAGCGTCACTGATGTGTTTGGTAAATTGTGGAAACACTGAAGCAGCATCACGGCTCAGTGAACTCCAGGAAATAGAACTGCCACTAAGTTAACAATCAAAAAGAGGAAAAACCAAACGAGGGCTGGGCCATTAACACAAAATGCAAACGTGAAGGAACAGATTTTCTTTGTTTAGCATCGGAAACACTGGAGAAGAAGATGAAGCGTGTTTGTAACGTTTAGTTTTTGAGTTCTTACATTTTGACGTAGGGGTCGGAGAATCCGTTGACGTCCATGGCTGCCAGGTGGGCGCAGCGCTTCACGCCCACACAGAGACCACCACTGCGGCGGCCTTCACCTCCTCCTCCTCCTCCTCCTCCTCCCTCCACATCTTTATCATCCAAACTCAGCGGAGGCAAAAACTGCAGAGAGAGCAGAAGACGACCTCTCTCCTCCAGACTGTGGAGCTGCTCGTTCTCCCACTGCGTCAAAACCAGAGGAGTTGATTAGTTTGGTAGATTAGTCAGATGATTGAAATGAGTCAGTTTAAGTTAAATCAGATGTGTTTAGCTCAGAGTGTTTTAATGAGTGTTTTCTGATTTGATTAGAAGAAGCTGGAAGCTGGACGGAGGAGAGCAGGTCTGAGACAGAGCTGTTGACCCACCTCCCCCCTCTGAGTGCTCGGGGGGAGGTGAGAGACTGAGCGTGTCGGCCATGATCGCATCACGTCACCTCATCTGAAAATAAAGCAGATGTCGGTGGGAGTCGAGTCTATTCAGTCTCGCTTTAATCCTGTTTTCTGCTGATGAGCTGCTCAATTTAATTTCATCCTGAAACGTTCTCACACAGAGGAGAGCTTCAAACGCACCAGCACCCCCTGGTGGTGTTTGTAATTACTGCAGGTATCTGATTGGATGTTTGTGGTCACAGTTGAATCCTTCATCTCTCACCCGCCCTCTGTTTCTCTGTCCCGGGCTGAGACCTTCACCTCACGAGCATCAACTCATCCATCGCCACACTTTGAAGAGAAGTTGTTTCTAAATTCAGTCGGTATTCAGCTCCTGCTTCCAACTGTCCTTCACAATAAAAGTGCAGCTAAAGGTCAGAAAGAAGGTCGATGACGTTCAGAGGGAGTCAGCAGCTTGGCTGGATTTCTCTCCCGCCTACTCCACTTGGTGGGAGAGGAGCTTTGTAGATGAAACCTGAGCTGAGTAAGATTTCAGCTCAGCAACATTTACAAAGTGAAATAAACCTTCAGCTCCAGATTCCTCCTCCGATCCTCACTTCGACCAACCTCAGGTTCATGTTACAGATGAGCTGCTGACGGACATTCACTCCGAAATGAACCTTTAAAAAAGGGAATACACTGCGTTCTCATTGCCACCAAATGATTTTGCCTGTTCTGTTCTTTCTCCGTCACCATGTTCGATTTAACAAACGTACAAATGAGGCGCTCAGTCACTGTCTTGACAAATTAGCACGTTCACTTGGTTGTGACGTTTCCATCCCCTGTCTGTGGCTGTTTGATCATCTGAGTTTTGTGCAGTGAAAAGAATTAGTCTCACAAAGATCAGATGAACCAACAATGACAGAACCACACTTCAGAGTTTGTGTGATATGATTGAATGGTTATGGACGATTTGGTTGAAGACCAATGGTTGTAAACATTAAATCTCTACTGAAGAAAAACAGCATAAATTATTCACATCATCACATAATCCAACAATCATTCATCTAATTAATCTAA